CCTGCGAAGCTATTTTAGGCGGCCCGTGAGGTCTTGTTCACCAAAATAGGTCAGCCGGACATTATGACCAAAAAAGGAGCCACAAATCTTTATAAAATTAAAATTCTTCCCCGGGTCAAAAAAATTAGCTATTCTAATGCAAATATGCGGCCCTTCAAAGATAAAATAGTTCTCAAAGCGGCCCTCACAGCGAAAAGTTTGCCCACTCCTGTTGTATGTGTAACATAGTTACTTAAAACATCTCCGTCATCGCTAGCACCATCGTTTGCCGCATTTAGACATCAATTTTATTTAAATTGATCTTAAGTTTACTTTTAATCTCTGTTGTCTACGTCATTGTTTGTTTGGATGTAAACAAAACAAAAATAAAGTAATTATCATACATTGGTGGAAGGATTTTTCAGTTTTTTTTTTACTTTTAAAGATTACTTATATATAATTTTTGATATTACTGTTGCTACAGTTGCAACAACAATTATCATTTTTACTACCACTACTGTTAATCAGTTAATAATAGCAAGCAATTAATACTACTAACTACTACTACTACAACAACTACTACTACAGCTACTACTACTGCTACTACTATAACGATACAACCACTACTACTTCTACTACTATTACTACAATTACAGCTACTACAGCTGCTGCTGCTGCTACTGACTATTACTACAACAACTACTACTACTATTATAACGGTATATAACCATTACTTTTTCTACTACTAATACTACTACTTTTACAACCACTGCTACTACTACTACTGCTACTACTAACTACTATTACAAACTGCTACTACTGCTAGTACCACTGCTGAAAAGCAAAATGGCTACTCAAACCACAATGATGGCTGCAAAATTGACAACAGTTGATCCGACATCTGTGAGAAATAAGAAATCAAATGGCTCAAAAACCGCCATTTTACACGTAATTCAATCTGAGGTAATCTCTCTTATTATTATTACTATTATAATTATTATTATTATTATAATAATTAGTATTATTATTTTTATCTTCAATTTTGTCCCAGCTACTGATACTACAGATACTGCTGCTGTGTTACAATTACTAGCACTACTACTTCGAATGATGCTAACTCCAATACTGCTCGTGTTACGGGTGCCGTCCTTACTTCTACTACTGATACTACTACTACTACTACTACCACTACTACTACTACTACTACTACTACTACTACTTATGCTACTACTGAAACAAAAATACTAAATAATTTAAGATAATTTTAAATAAACTCAAGCCAAAGACAAAATAAAAAACCAAAAAAAATAATGGACACCTTAGTACCAACAAAACGCCAGAAAACGCTATATAAAGAAACCAAATCCAAAGCAAAAAAAACACTGAATATGCACTAAAATAACCAAAAACACTAAATAATCATTGCAGACGGCGGAAGTAGAACAGGGCCGGAAAAGGATGATGGTTTTAGCAGGCGTGGTGTTGGCGGTGGTAGTAGTAGTAGCTACAATGTCCACACTCATCGTACATCTTGTTGGTTGGTTATGATGATGAGGATGATGAATATGATGATGAAATTATTGGTTTGATGAAAGAAGTTATGGAACATGCGGCTATAATTCATGGCAAAAGAGTTAGATTACACAAAAAACAAAGACACGCATACACGCAACTCTTTCTCCCTCTCTCTCTCTCTCTCTCTCTCTTTCTCTCTCTCTCTCACACACACACACACACACACAACACACACACACACACCTTTTTACAGAAGACAGAAGTCGCTACTCGAAAACCACAGCCACACCAGAGCCACCAAAAAAATTACTATTAGAAGATGAAGCAAACACAATCGAACCAGAGCCTACAGTGAGAATTTCACGAAAATTCGTCGAAAGATCTTTGGAGAGTTTTGGCGCTAAAAATGAAGCGCGAAAAAATCGCACTACAAAGATTTTTCATTTGAAGAAAATTGAAATGGACCGAATTAACGATTTCATACACTAATTTAATTTTCACATTAATATTTTTCATTTATTTATAGATAAAAATAATTGTAAATTATGTAGATAATAATCGAATAATAGTCACATTTATTTTCTAAGATGTCAGAACTTCTCAATCTTGATCATTAAACACTGAAAAAATATTTTAAAGGTTGAAAACTTGAAAAAAGCAGTGAAACAGCCTTTAATCGGAGTTTATGACAAATAAATTTGTAGAATTTAATCTTAACCCTTTGTGTAAGAAACAATGGTGGGTGCTGTGGCAGTCCCGAAAGGCACCCACTGTATCATATAATATCTGCTTATGCAATATAATCCGGACGACGAGCTGGTCAAATACAGGGGTGGGCAAACTACAGCTTGTTCGCTAAAAAATATCGTCAGCCAGACATTATGACTAAAAATGTAGCCACAAATCTCAAAAGAATTCTCCCCCGGGGTCGAAAAAATTTGCTATTAAAGTACATTACATATGCGGCCCTTCAAAGGTAAGATAGTTCTCAATGTGGCCCTCACGGCAAAAAGTTTGCCCATCCCTTGTCTAATAGTTAGGACGACAAACGTCTGCTACAAGAACGGTAAAGCCACGATCACAACAAATAATTTTATTATTTCAACTTTAAATCTCAAACGCAATAATCATCACTTTTTTGTTTAATGAATATATAAATACTAATTGGTAATAAATAATATTATAGCAAACAATTTTACTTAATTATGACAATTATAACTTTTATATATATATATATATATATATATATGAAAATAAATAAATATATATATACATATTTATTTGTTTATATATATATATATATATATTAGGTATATGACTTCAAAAACAAATTTTGTAAAATTGAAATCGGCATGCCAAAGTTTGATGAACTTTTATATAAAAATAATAAATATAGCGAAAATTCATTATTTTTGTTGAAAAAGTTCGCCCACCAACAGATTTTTTAGTTTGCAAATAATCCATTTTTTTCGTTTTTTTAAGTTCACTTTTAATCTTATTGTTTACAATTAAATTTCATTTTTCTGTTCTCCATGTTGTGTTTCTGCATTTTAATCCAGTTTAAACAATTATTTTAATTTTACATCGTTTCATTTTGGAAAATGTCTTATAAACAATCTTCACTTTCTGTTACTAAAAATAAAGACAAATGGTCAAGTAATTTGAAAAAATTTCAAAACACTCTTAAGAGAAGAAACAAAATCAGCATTGGGATCAAACATTTGTATTCACATTCCAGAATGCCAAAAGAGTGGATGATAATTGGTCGCTACTTAGGCTTGGCCTCTACTGAAAAGTCTAGATTAAAAAGAATTACAACACTCAGACAAGAAATAGAGCAATTGTGGAGCTTGTTGAATTTTCCAATACTATCTTTGCATTCAGTAGGCAGAAAAATTGAAACTTTACTTAAAAAGTATGATACTCATTTGAAAAAACCTGTTGGTGACATGCGTGAGCAATTTGATAAGTTGTTTGATGTCACAAACAAAACTGGTCAATGGCTATGTGCAGAAGACAAAAAATTTTACCAAATTCAAATTCAGAGTAGAGGTAAGACAGGATATGCAAGAACAAAAAATGCCAGTCAGAGTACAATTCACCCATCAAAACGAAAAATTGCTGGAAAAGTTAATGATAAACTAGAACAAAAAGACAGATTTGAAGAAAGTTCTAATGACTCAAGTGACAATGAAGATTCTCAAAGTAGTTCTGATGACTCTTAAGCAACACAGTCGTCCATTAAAAGCTTTGATCAAAGCACACATCTGAAGCAATTTCAACAGTCTACGTTTAGTGCAGTTTCATTAGTACAATCTGGGAAGCTGTCAGTTCGAAGAGCAGCCATAGTTAGCACAATTTTAAACAAGTCCGGTGTTAAAATTACAACTCCTTCTCAGTCAGGTGTCTATAGAGCGGTATACAGAGAAGCAAATAAAGTAATGAAAACATTAATGAATACTTTGTGTAATAGCTCATGGTGTTTACATTTTGATGGTAAAATTATTAAGAAAAAAGAACACCAAGTAGTTCTATTAAGAAATGAAGTAAAAGAAGTGAGGCTTGCTGTCTTAGTGTTACCAGATGGAAAAGCTACTACTATTGCATCTGCTATTCAAAAAACGTTGGATGATTATAATCTATGGGCAGCTATAAAAATGATAGTGTCAGACACTACAAATGTTAATACTGGGTCAAAGTCTGGTGTTGTGGTGAGACTTCAGAAACTTTTTGTTCAACACGGTGAATCTGCGCCAGTTTTTATAGGTTGTCAGCACCACATACTTGATCGTGTTCTTAGACACGTGTGTGATGCATTGCTTGGCGATTCAACTGAGTCTCCTAACATGAATTATCCAATTATCCAATTATCCTTAAAGATTATGAAATGTTAAAAAAATATTTTGAAAGTAAAGCAAAGAAATGTTCTCCAAATCTAAAAGAACAGGAAGTAGGCTGGAGAGATGATATGAAGTTTTTGCACCATCTAATTTGCGTTTTCAAGCATTTTAAGAATTTTCAACAAATGCCAAAAGTTAATTTTAAAGCACTCCCTGGCATCAGCAATGCCCGATGGAATTCTCGAGCAATTTTTGCATTGTTGGCTTTCATACTATTGCCTGATGAACGAAAGAACCTTCAGAAATTGTGTGAATTTATCTGTGGACAATGGAGTGATGCTTGGTTTAGTGATCATTATTACAGAACTGAACAATATGAATTTCTTTTATATGCTGTTAATGAATATCCTAAGGCGTTGCGCTGTTTTCAAACTCATTGGTCTCAAAGTCCATCTTCCATACACACTCAACGCAGCAATGTGTGTGCAGAAAGAACAATAAAAGTTCTACAAGATATTGCTCCTCTTTGCCACTCATCTGAGAAACTAAATTTACGTTTTATTTTTACAAATAAAAGTTTATGAAACCATACTTGAAATAATTGACAAATGGCAATTTTTGGAAAAACTTTAAAATGTTTAGTGGGTGACATTTTTCAACTTTTTA